GAGAGAGAGAGAGAGAGAGAGAGAGAGAGAGAGAGAGAGAGAGAGAGAGAGAGAGAGAGAGAGAGAGAGGGTATTGTGTGGCTTCTTTGCCAAATGATCTTCTTTTTGACGTTTGACGTTCTGTAATGCAGGTTTCTGAAGAAGTGATGCCGCCCAGGGAGTGGTGACATCAGACGTGGGATCATTGCCTCGTGATCTCAAAATGACTGGATGCGGTTGTGATTGTTGGGTCCTCTACATGGAGGCAAAAAAGAGCAGCGTACTTGGACTCCGAGCTGTGGGACTCCAAGCGGTGATGTCTGTAGGGATGACAAGTGGAGAAGTGAAGGAAAGGAAATGGGTGGCATATCCTGGCATTAATTTTCGGCGATGATTAAGATGATGGTCTGTGACAAGGACCGTTTTGCTCAATGGGGGTCTCACATCAGTAAAGATGCAGGAAAGATGGTGGCCATATTGGAACTTCCCATGCCATCATTAAAGCTGGTTAGTGATGGCGGACACCTGATTGTGGGTCTGATGAAGGAGACGACTGAAAGCTTTGCTGTTGAAGTTGGAAGAGTGAATAATATGGATTCTTTCTTTCGTGTGCAAGAAGGAAGAGGTGGAGGTGGGGATGGAGAGAAGGGGGACAGCAATGCCCTCGTTTCCATAAACGATACCCGTCCAAAAGTTGTCATGGAAGGTGGCGAAGGACTCGTGGACGGAGGGGAGAAGGGGAATCGTAACCTCCCGTCCGCTGCGGATGTCCATGGGGCATCTGGTTTGGTGAAGGGTGCGGCGAACTGGTTGGCAGCGAAAGATGGAAAGCAAACCGATGATGTAAAGGCGGTGCACTCGGCTGTGGAAAAAGATGTGATGGGAACAATAGGGAAACTGACATTGCGAGACGGTGATGATGGGGCTCCGGTTGCAGCCAGGGGATTAACGTTGGGTGAGCATCCTTGTCAAAATCCAATGGTTGGAGAAGGAGATAGAGAAGATCCCAGAAGTAGGGAAAGCGCAGATGAAGCATGCCACGGGGAGTCTGCAGAAGGCAAATTTTGCTCTGGGGAAGTAGCACAGTCAGCGTTGAATGACGAGATGGCTGATGTGCGTGAGTCCTGTCCGGGTGTAGGAATCAAAGGATCAGATGCGGGGACTGGAGACTCAGCGGTGGTCCCTAAGCCCTCTGCGCCCTTGCAGTTTTCTCAATTGCCGTCTATTCTTCCATCAAGCGATTGCCGGGACTCCGACTCGGTGCCTAACAGTGCTCACCTCGCTGTTCCTTTGGGAGGTAATGCCGACTTTCTGGGCAATAAGGAAACAGCAGAGGAGCTACCAAGTTTGGTCCAGGGTGAAAGTTTCTTGCACGTGGAAGCAGACAAAAATATCGGACCTTTGCCGTCCCCGACGTGCCATGGATCGGGTGGGGATCGGCTGGGGGAGGCAAACGTTTGTCGCGATCCTCCCCCAACACCTCCAGCACAACAACAAAGCAATACCCCGGGCACGACTCCCCCTATGTTGACAGTTCCACATCCCTCTACTTCTGGTGTTCGTAGCAGCATCCCCAAACCACCTGAAGCAACAATGCCTCCACCACATCGGCTGGAGGAGGCAAATGTTTGGTGCGATCCTCCTGCAACACCTCCAGCACAACAACAAAGCAATACCCT